TAACCAATCTTCTAGAAGAAAAGTCATAGTTATTCTCAAAATGTTTAGCAAAAAAAATAATTGAAAATTGTTTAAACAGGAGTGTTGTAAACGAAGAGTACTTTGCGTTCCGACTAGAATGGAAGGAGTGGAGATTGCCGATTGCACACAAGCCGCGCTCTCCAAAAAAGTCGAGCGCATGGTTTCAAAATAGATTGCTTGGAAAAAAATGACATATCTCGTGTTCTAGTCGACCAAATTTGTTCTTTTTTTTTAAACTGGGTACAACGTTAAAATAATAACATTTAACGTACTTTCATTGCAAAATTATTCAAAACAAAGCAGCTAATGACTACGGAATATACAAACTTTTTCTTGAGTCGTCTTTTTATTGTTATTTTTCTATTTATTTATTTCAAATATGATTATATTAAATAACTGTTATAAGTAAATGAACATTTTGAATAATGTTTACTAAAAATGTATTAATGAAATAATAAATTAATTTTATGTTATTACAGAAGTTGAAATTTTGTGTAGTCATTTTTTAAAATAATTAATTTACTGTAATTTTCTACGCTTAATTTCTATATCGTCACTGCTACTACTATGTAAACATTTATCTTCACTTTCATCTTTAATTTCACTTGTATTATAACTTTCATAAATCATTTCATTTTCATTGTCGCTATTCTCATCAAAACCAGTTAAATACATTTCATCAATTATCTCTTGTTCATCTGTTGTATCGTTTTCTTCTTCATTAATAATTTCATAAATATTAGTACATTATAATAGTAAAATAATATTATATTCAAAGTTAACCGTATATTATTCAGACAACGTGGTACAACCATGTGTTTTTATTAATATATATCAGAACACGTAGTTTTTTTTAATATTTAGATGAATTTTACGTACCATTAATTATTTGTAACAACTATTAAATAAAACAAAACACTAAATATTTCAATACAACAAACCGGTTGTATAGTCGCAGGAAAATGAGTTGTACCGCTTTCGACGTGCGCTCGACGCTCGACTTTTTTTAGAGCGCGGCTTGAGTGCAATCGGCAATCCCCACTGCTTCGATTTGAGTCGGAACGCAAAGTACTCTTGGTTTACAACACTCCTGTTTAATCAATTTTCAATTATTTTGTTTGCTAAATATTTTGTTAAAAACTTTGACTTTTCTTCTAAAAGATTGGTTAATTTCAGCCCTTAATGTTGTTAATTGACGTAACAGTGATTAAAAAAAAAAGGACTAACTCGGCTCCTAATGGTCGCAGGACCTTTTTCTTTTTTTTTTAAGTTGTGTTTTTTAACCAGCTTTCCGAATATTTTATTGCCATTTAATTTAAACTAAATAGTACGGAGTTATTGTAAATGTTTATAAGCTTAAAAAGTGCTATTTATTGTTAAATCATTTTGTGTACATAAACGTAATTTTTTTTAACTTTTTTTTCCATAGGATATTAATATATGTCTCAACAAAGAAAATAAGCCCCGGATTTTTAAGATCCACTCAGTCAAATTTTCTGGACCGGCCTTAGAAATTTGTGCATTTTTCAAAAAATCTTATAAACAAATTAAGTGGTTTTGCTTGGTTATTATGCAATAACTTTTTTGTTTATTAACCGATTTTAATTTAGTATATCTCATTTTGTGTATTTTTTTTCTCAACAACTTCTCTGTAGACGTCAAATCTCTAAATAGACAAGTTTATAAGTTATGAGCAAAATAATGATATTGACATTTTAATTGTTTATTTAAAAATATTTCCACTAAAAAATTCATGAATCCCTAGATGAGAGTCTTTTTGTAATATCTCATACTACTTATTTCAACTGTCAAACCCGTCTATACACTTGTGATGAGTAAAAACCTAACTTGATTGGCCTAATGGACTAAAAATAAATTTGAAGAAAACCAAGTTCATGGCATTTACAAAAACAGAAAACATCAAAGTTAAGCTAATACTAGATAATACAGACATTGAACAAATATCTTCGTACAAATACCTTGGAGAATGGATCACAGAAGATACTGATCAGACAAAAGAGATAAAATGCCGCATTGAAATTGCACGGTCAACTTTAAATAGGATGAGAAAACTTTTTTGAAATCGCGATATTATTATATCGCTCCAGATAAGAATGATTCAATGTTATATTTTCTCTACCCTTTTGTATGAGGTTGATGCTTGGACACTTAAAAAATCCAACATTAAAAGCCTAGAAGCATTCGAGATGTGGTGTTACCGACGTAATTGGAAAATATGGATGTATCGCAAAACAAACGAATAAGTTCTCGAACAACTAGACTAGTTTTAAAGTCGATAAAAATCAGGAAATTTAAATACTTGGGGCACATCATGAGACGTGAAAAATACGAAATACTAAGCAATATAATGCAAGATAGAATCAAAGGCAGAAAAACGAAGTAAAAAGACGTAAAATCTCATGGCAATCTCCGTGAATGGTTTGGATGCAGTTCAATTGAACTATTCAGGCGCGTAACCAACAAAATTATAATTGCCAGAATTATTTCCAATCACCGATAGTAGCGGATCTTGTACTATTATTATAAGAAAGCTAATCGTGATTAGCATAAGCATAAGCACAAAATTTAAGAAATATCCAAAAATAGGGACAAAACTATTATAAGAAATAATAGACAAGTCGATTTCATTATTCGATTGAAGGATAAAATATTTACTGTCCGTTCATAAAGTTACCTAAATCAGTAAAATACTAAAGTTTTCTCCGTTAGTGTTGTTTAAAGTGCCGTATCAAATATAAGTTATCTATTCGTTTTTTTTTAATTTGTCATTTTTTGTGGCTGAAAAGAAATTCCTTATTAAGCTTCTCTCGGTAAATCGGGTATTTAATTATAAAATTATTCTATTTAAATTGATTGTTTTTCTTTTTGATTTATTGTTGGCTACATTTTTGGGAACGAAATGTATTTTTTAATAACAACAAATAGTTTACAATAATAAGGTCAAGTAGCGTAAGCTTCGCTGGGTGATTTATTTGGTATATCGAAGAAATATTAGTTACTACACAGTGAGCAGTTACTGCTACAGCTTTAACTAAGAGGCTTGAAGGTATTTACGGTACATTTAGTCTCACCTAGTACCATATGCAAAGAATATGCAAATGAATAAAATTTATTATCTTGTGTACCTGCTACAGGCCCTTTATTGGACGCGTCCCATGAAAGACAATCTTGTGCTTATTCAAAATAAAAAATGAAAGATTGGAGAAACGTTATATTTATAGATGAATCTCATTTTATAAAATATTTATCTGCTGGTCGTCAAAGATTGTGAAGAGGTCCTGGAGAACGCTATGCTTAATATTGCTTTTCTGCTAGGATACAGTTTGGTGGTAAAGGTATTTTGTTATGGGATGCCATTGCTTTTAAATTACATACAGATCTTGGCATGTTAGGGGGAGGTGGGACTAGTACTAATAGGAGAATTACGGAATGTCTGAAAGAACATGTGGTACCTTACATGTATTTTGTAGGTGGAAATTTACTCCTGATGTAAGATAATGCTCCGCCGCACATAGTTAGGATAAAAATGTAACACTTTACAGATCTCTTAGAAGTCCAAAACTTAATCCCATAGAAAATTAGTGAGAATACTTGGCAAAAGTAGCTGGGAAAGGTTATGGCGATTCTCAAACAAAGGTGCGTTAGAACAGGCGCTGGTAAACGAGTGGGAACAAATACCGCAAAACGAGATTGCTGCGATTATTCAAGCTCGAGTAGGAAATACACTATTTTAATATTCATATTTTAGAATTTGTAACGTTATAAACGTCACATCTCTATTAATTTATATTTAAATAATTATTTCATTTTAATTTCTTTAATAATTTATTAACTTGTTTATGTTCAGTTATATTTGTACTATTTTTTATTTAAAATGTAGTTGGCGCCCTCTGTTTTCGTTTTCTTCCTCTGTCTTTATTTACTCTCTCTTTCTGTCCCGTAGAATAAATATTCGGCCTCTCTCTTTCTGTTTTATGTTGACAGACAGCTAGTTTCATGAAATAGCAACATCTTATGACATCTGTGCTAACTTCATTTAGTCTCCCACTTTCTGTCAACAACTTTTCTAACGTGGTGGGATTATTTTTTACTTCTTTATAAATTTTTAAAAGAAGGCAAATTTGAAATTTATAAAAGAAGGCAAACATTATTATAATACTTATTTTATGGTCTACAAATTCTCTTGTGTTTATTGGGAATATTCACAAGTTTATTGGGAATTTTATTGGGCATATTAACAACTTTATTGGCATATTGACTTAATTAGTACCAAAAAAGACAACTTTATTCGTACCAAAAGTATTACCTTTATTGGACTTTTAATCAGAAGATACAACCACGTGTAACTTCAGCTCTTCATAAACCACCTTTAATTGGAGGACCTAACAGCAAGAACACACAAGCAACCCATCGATCGAAGCAGTAAGTATCACTTATCAATTGTTAAGCTTTGGCAGGGTTAATTATTGTGTTTGTTTATTCTTTTAATTAAATATGTTTGTTTAAAATTTGTCTCATTTGCTATCAACTGAGAACTCAGGTTCAATCCTTATTTTAAGACAAGACGAACTCACCCTTGGGATACTGAGCTAGGCAAGGTATAAAGCTCCCATGGTTGATTAAGGTATTATTTTTACAATAGTACTTTAATTTTCTTTGGTAGTCTTATCGTTACTAATTATTTCATTATTTCAATTTGGTTAATATCCTACTTTCTCTATCTGTTGAAAAATTAATAAATATTATGGAACTTGTTTTTTACTTTATGGTTTGTTGTTAAAAATACAGTAAAAAAAACTGTATTGGAATTTAAGTTTTTCGAATATTTTTTAATAATTTATCTTACAATAAACTTAATTTTCGGTAAAATTTACGCTACAATGTATATATTATTGTATTAAAATTATAAAGAAAATAAATTAAATAATGATATTTACATTAAAAGTAATTTTACTTACTTTTTAGTGCATATTCCTGAAAATCTTGTAAGTCTAGAATATATTTCTCACTCTGTCTACGACATTCTGTACTCACTTCTTGAATGTTACTGAGATCAAATGGAGGCAAGGAAGAGAATAATATACTGGAGAGTCGATCGGTAGTAGACCTATATTCAGTATCTGAAAGAGAAACGATAGTGTTGAGAAAAAGAGGTATATGGTAAACAGTAATACAACTACATAAATTACAGCTTTATACATACTTTTAAACAGTACTTTATTAATTCCACATTTTATGTTTAGTAGTATAGTACTAGGGATACGATATAACCAGCGTAACGGCACAAGAATCATAACTGCAATTAAATGCAAGTAGTATACATGATTTTCTACGATGATTCCAAAAAAAAAAAAATTCAAAATTTATGTATATTGAAAAATGTGAAAACATACAAAGAAGATGATACAGTACCATAATCGATGGTAGAATGCGTCTACCACGTTTCTCCATGATTGTCTAGAAATTATTCGAGATATTTATCGATATTTCGTTGCCTTAGTACTGCAAGACTTGCTGATTTAGTTTTGCAAACTGAATTTTTCAAGTATTCTCAATAAAAATATTCTTTAGGATTGAAATCGGGTGAACGTGGAGCCCATTCAATTCTACCTCGTCTACCAATTCATCGTCCGAGAAATATCTCATCTAAATAAAGCCGAACATTTACACCAAAATCTAAGTAACATTTGGTAAATATCTGACGTTAAATTTCCTTCTATAAAAAATGGCCCAATTAACTCTCATCATTAGAATAGTAATTCGATATTTTTCGTTAAGAGCTATTTTAGAAAGCAATTTATCTTGCAGAACTTTTTGAAACACAACTACTGTCAGTTTTAGTTTATAATTTATATGGTGAAAAAATGTCGAAATCACAGTATCCTACATTTAAATTTACATTTATTAAAATCTACATATTTTGCACTGCTTTATGTATTTAAAACCTGCCAGACTACATAAAATCGTTTAGGTGTTACATTAAAAGTGTTACATATGGTTGAACTCGTATTGAATAGGAGATTCCAATAATGACTAAATATACAAGGTGATGAATTTGAAAAACCAAAGATACTGATAATATAAGAGAAACGGCAAATCTGGTAACATTGTAAATATCAAATATGGAATTTCCGTGTGCCAAAATAGGTGAACCTCAAATTTTGTAAAATTATGACTAGCAATTTACGAGAGAATTGGTCCTTTTCAGACTCTTGGGCCACTCTGTATATCGGTGCCTGTAATATGTGCCTTAGTTGTAGCAATAATTATTTTTGTATTTGCCAATAATTTTTTTCCACCAAAGCAGGGTTTACATTAATAAGTCTCGGATTTATTGATTTTGTATGTTTTATATGTATTTAATATTATAATCATCAAGAAGCCTAAAATAGAGCATACAGCAAATATGCCAAAATGAAAAACCAAAATGTCCATTGTAGTAGTCTATTATATCTGTTTGTTACACTGAAAAATTTTTATCCCATACCTATTTTTTGTTTTTTTTTTTAAGATAGGCTATTACAGCATTTAAAAATATATTTATGAAATAAAAAATTTACTGGGATTTCTTCTTCTTTAAATTATTCTGTGTGCCCATAGCCGCTATGTTGAGTTATTTATTATAAAAACCACGTGAATGGTTTAACGTAACATCTGCAAAATTTAAAATCAGTATTTTATGAATATCTAAATTATATACCCGAATCACACACAGACACAAACACACATACATAGGTTTTAAAAGATTCACGTTTTAAAAATAGAATATGCTGATCACAGCGAGATAATGAAGCAAAAAAATTCAAGAGGTTTCTTGTGGCTAAGATTTTACGCAAACATTTCATCATTTGTGTTTAGTGATTTCCTACACAACTCTTTGTTAGGTAAATATTACCAGCTAGGTATGTATTTGTTGTACATCATGAATTACTGTATTGCAAGTTAAAACATTTTATGTCTTTAATATAAATTCATTTCTAATAAGGTATTTTATTAAGTAAATAAAATACTCCTATTAATGCTATTAGTGAACTAAATTAAATTATGATAACAAATTTAAAAAATCTGGAAATATCTACTCATTACACAAATAAGCGATCTACTGGAGATAAGCTTATAACCATAGCTTAAAAGCCTAAAGAATAATAAACTGAAATATCTCCAAAATTTAATAGTAGGAGCAATCGGAGAGGAATGGCTAACTTTGAAACCAAACTTGTTCTTATTTGACCTGTCATCTTTTTTAACGTTTGAAAAAAAAGGACACTCAGATTTGATTAAATCAAATACGATTATTGAAAATAAGCCACAATTCAACTTTAAAACAAGTTTATTTTGATGTTTTGATTTCCATATTTCACAATTGATTTCAAAATACAAAATGTGAATAAATTTTGTATAAAGTTTTGTATTTTAAGAGTTCTGTCTTAGTAATTGATTTAAATTAAAATATTCGTTAATACGTTTATATTAATATGTTAAATTTTAATAAATAACAATTATTATTTTTCTCTATTTAAAAAAAAAACTTGGTCAAAAGATGGTGGAGAAAAATCAAAGGATATGCTTCTTCATTTTGATTGGCTTTAAAACACGGTGTTAGTCTTGGCCGCATTCACTATAGCCCTGCTTCTTCTACGATTTTGCGCTTCTATTTCTCATTATTGCACCCCAATCCTAGATACATCATCTTCAACATCATCCTCTTATCTTTTTCTAGGACGGACTACTGATCTTCTTTCATCTGGTCTTTTAAAACACTGTCTTTAGCACTCCGCCTTCCTTTGATCTTTCCACCTAACCTGCCAATCTTACTCGGTTAGCTTTTATATATCTGACTATGTTTTTAGTGCCATATAAAGTCACCAATTCACAATTTCGGCGCCTTTGAAGGCCAAATATCGTTATAAAAACTTGAAAACAAAAAAAAAAATTGAAACCTTCGTTTCAAATACCAAGAGCTTATTTTATTATTAGTTAGCTTCACTAATTTTTTTGATATTCCCATGTCTAGAATTTTATGACATAGTGTGCATCTTTATTAAATTATATGCTTGAATTGAATGCCCAGTTTTTTTCTAATATTTGTCGGATCATAAATATGTGATCTACTGTTCTTCCAACACGAGAACCACATTGGTAGTCGTTTAGAATATCTTTCGAATATGGAGTGAGCATCTTTAGCAAGATCATTGATAGAACATATACTGTACTAATAAGCAATATGCCTCTATAGTTTTGAAATTGTTTTTATGTATGGGTATTATAATGCTTCCATTCCCTTCTCTAGACATTTTGTATTAGCATACTCTCAGAATAATGTTAAACACTTTTTAATGGGCAAGGTTTTCTCCTTTTTTTATCAATTCTTCATTTATATCATCCTAGCGCTTTCTGATCTTTAAGAGATGCTCTCGCATTCTTTAAACAGCGTTAACGCTTTCTAGAATTGAAGGCAAAGCCAGCTCCAGGTGAGGAATAAAAAGTAGTATTCCCGCGATTACATTTCGGAAGGCTTTTAATTTCAAGCGTTTTACGAATTACTTTGAAATACAAGTTAGAATTCTTGCAAGGATTATTATTTTTATCAAATAATATGGAAGATCCTTATCTTTTACCACTTAAAAATGGGAGAAAAAATGTATCTTAAATTCCTGTTTAGACCAACCAGTAAGTTTAACCGATAAATAGGAGCAAGAATATACATCACACGAAGACAAAGGAGATGGTAGATCTTTGAGAGGAAATACAACTTCGGAAAATTTTCTAGTTTTAAAAAAATGGTCCTGATACTGATTTTTTCAGAAACTAAAACTAGAAACAAAATATGATATCAGAAATATGTACAAAAAAAAGTGACTTTAATGGGTCGAAATCGACAGCAAGGATACATAAAAGACAAAAAAGGAGTACTACTAATAGATTTACCAGAGAAGTTACGACGATGGGAGGAGTACGTTAGAGAACTTTTCCAAGATGAAAAAGGTAAAATGGTGAAAGAGTGGCTGAAGTCAGCATTTATAATCATCCATAAAAAACCAACAGCAAAAGAGTGCTCTGATTATCGAACACTGAGCCTCATAAGTCATACTTTAAAAGTTCTGCTAAAAATATTACATAAAAGAATATACGAAAGGCTAGAGGAGGATATTAGCGAGACGCAGTTTGTGTTCCGAAATGGAATGGGTACTCGAAAAGAACTATTTGCCATCAACATATTGATTCAGCGATGTCGGGATGTAAATGTTGATCTATACTTGTGCTTCGTTGACTATGAAAAAGATTTCGATAAAGTAAGACATGAAAAACTAATATCATTACTTATAAACAAGCGCATTGACAATACAATTATAAATATATTGCAAACGTTATATTGGAACCAAAGTGCCATAGTTCAAATTGATGAGCAACACTCAGAAGAAATGAGGATCTATAAAGGAGTTAGACAGGGATGTGTTTTATCGCCACTTTTGTTTAACTTATATTCTGAAAAAATTTTGCAAAGCACGCTCAATAATATCGAAACGGGAGTCACCGTTAACGGAAAATTAAATAACAACTTAGGATATGCAGACGACACTGTGATCATAGCAACGAGTATGAAGGATCTACAATATCTTATCGAAAGCTTGAGTATGAATAGTGCTGAGATGGGAATTACTATAAATGCTAAAAAACAAAGTACATGCTAATTACAAAATAACCACAAAATATACATCACCTCTTAACAATCAATGGTAACGTGATAGAACAAGCAGAAAAATATCAGTACTTGGGAACTTTGATCAATGAAACCAATTATCATACTGTAGAAATAAACAGGCGAATAGAGATTGCCAGATCAGCATTTTTACAAATGAAGCCACTCCTAACGTGCAAAAATCTAAATTTGGAGATCAGACTACGTACCATTTGCTGTTATATATTTACAATATTATTACTGGACATTAAAAAAATGGAATTTAAAAAGAATCGAAGTCTTTGAACTCTGGTTGTACCGCAAAGTATTGAAAATATCATGGACTGATAGAATAACAAATAAAGAAGTACTGGAGAGGGTTGGTAAAGAAACAGAACTAATTACCACTATACAAACCAGAAAACTGGAATAGCTAGGCCA